CATTTAGTGATCCAAAGACAAAAAAAAAAAAAAATCATTTATAATCAAACTTGCAGCAGTTTTAAGGAAATATTAACAGCTAGTAAAAAAACTTATGGATAAATCAATCTGTCCAAACAAAACCCCCACAATGGGGCACCTGGATTCCAGTCACTGGGCAAAGTGGAACCTCTTTAACAGGAAAGTTTGAGGGGCTGGCTCAGAATAGTATGGCCCTGCTTGATTAAAGTAGGGGGGGGTCAAACCCTGGGCCTGATCTGCGTCATCTGGCCCTTCAGGCTGCGTGCAGATACTAAAATTTGGTGGCAGGTGATTGGTGGCAGCTAATTTCTGTTCCCCTGCTGCCAAATTTCTGGACCCGTGTGGAGCCCCACAGCCCAGGTAGTGGGTCTGCAGTCTGGGTTGGTGCTCAGTCCAGCCCACGGAGAAGCCACATGCCATTCATCTATCCCCTGGGTTAAAGGACACTCAAGAAAGGAAGGATACGTGGGTTTGAATTGCAGAGGGAGGAACTGAACCTGAATCTCTTCTATCCTATGTGAGTGCTCTAACCCACGAGTGAATGGGTAGAAGGGGATATAACATTGCCGTCTTTCAAAGAGAGGGCTCTTTGAAAGAAAGGTCTGGTGTACCAATTTCCAGGTGAGGCTTCAAGGCAGTGAATCCTGAGTGAATGGAGTCCAGAGTAGGGTTCTGAAGCTGTGAAGAGGAATATGCCTTAAACACACTCCACTCCTCAATCTTCCTTCATGACTAACTCCTTTCTTAGTCTGCTTGATATTGTGAATCTTGTTTTGTTTTTACTCTCCCCATTGTATAGGCAGCCTGGGTGCCTAACTCAAAGCTATGGATTGTATTGTTATTTGTCATTTTGAATAGAATATTGCCAATCCCCAGCCATTTCACGATTACAAGTCTGGCCTCAAAAATGCATAAAACCGTGGGAAATGTGGGTTCTGTTCACCTGTCATCTGGTTTCATGAATATTTAGAGACCACTATTTTTCACCTGGATGCTCCAAAGCAAATAAACAAAAAAAATTCTTCAGCCTTTTTTTTTTTCCTTCCTTTTTCTTTAACTGAAACATGCAGTTTCCATGTAACACACGTCACAAAAAAGCTTGAGACTAATAAAAATGCCATATATCACAAAATAAATATGTGATAAAACAGAAACATCAAAGTCCAGGTGTTTGATATTCACTCACTAGGGGCTTAAATTTGAAACTTTTTTTTTATGGAAATGAATATGTATGGTCAGTGATCATGGGTGTCAAAACCCTAAGGTACAGGACTTATTTTTTGGATTGACATGTGAATCCATGTATATTGCAGGATATGAAACCATTTTTATCATGAAGCTAATTTGGCTTTCAAGACAACACATTTCTGCATGTAGTAAGACTTGAGCACCAGTAACAAGCCACTAATGAACCTGTAGCTGTTTCATTTACAAAATGAGATGCTTCTTAGCTGTGTGTGAAAATCAGGGTAATTCAGACATCTGAGTAGATTTTAATTGGGCTCTGATTACTCAGATTACAAGCACCTAGTGGCACTTTGTACCATCGCTGAAGAGAGTGGTTTCAAAAACAGTAACTAGCCATACCATCCAACTCTTTTTCAGTTTGTTGGCTTCAGCCTGCAGTTGGTATCTTAGTGTCTTTATATATCTGGAAAACGAGGTGAAGGAGATTCTGGAGTGAGAATTTATGAATCTCATTACAGTAATAACATTGGTGGAGACCAGGATGCTAAAAATATCTAGGTTTTACAGTTTTATAATTTAAAATACTCTTGTGTTGTTAGCCTCCAATACTTTAAAAAAAACAACTATACAAAGCCAAAATTCTACAAAACTACAATCGCAAGAAGCCCCCCAAAACAACAGTTTATTTCAATTGATTTGCTTTCTAGTGTGTGAGCCTATGCAATTTAGACTTCCAAGTGTTTGGCATAATCACGAGGACTAGATTGTTGTTGTTGTTAATCAAATAGTAAGATTCTTATAATCACGGTTTCTTAAGGTAGAGCTTTTAAATAAGCCATTTTTTGTAGCTCTGTGAATATGATGATCCAAGCCTGAGAGCACTATTTTTGTGCAGGAGATTAGTTCTAATTTCTCCCTTGATATCTCAAGATCTCAGTCACTTACAGTAGAGTTACCATATTTCCAGTTCCAAAAAAAGGACACCTCGCTCCCAACCTGCAGCCTCCAGTCCCTGGTGCTACCCTCCCCCCCCATGCCTGACAGGCAGACACCTGGCCCTGCCAGTGCCCTTCACTCCTGACCCACAGTCCCTTGCCCCCTAGGCTATGCTAGTGCCCCTCAGTCCCAACCCGCAGCCCCTGATCCCTGCTGTCCCTCACTTCTGGCCTGCAGACGCCCTGGTCCTGGTAATGCCCTGCACTCCTGGTGCACAGTGCCCCTCCCTCCCCACTGA